AAGAAATAATAACTGTATAAAGATCTCATTGAATGAAACTTTTTGTGAACAATTTAATAAGTGCAGATTTTACATAACTATTACTAACAACTAACACTTAGAAACATAAATAAGTATACAATTAAAAAATGTACATAAACATATGTATGCAAATACAATAATATATGCACGCACGTAAAAATGAATTATTTAAAGTAACGAGCTACTAGCATTGTAACCTAACAATTTTCTTCACTTTTTTTTAAGAAGGAACTAAGTTGAATAGGTAAAAAACAAATGAAAAAAATGTTTAATACAGCAGCATATCGATGGCTGAGTGGAAAATCGACCTATCTCGGCAGTCAGTTCAAAAACGCCCTATCTCAGAAAACTCTTCAAGAACGCCCTACTTCAGAATTTTATCTTAAAAAGTTTTCTGAGATAGAGTGTTGTTAAAAAATTTTCTGAGATAGCGCGTTTTCGAACTGGCTGCCGAGGTAGGTCGATCTTCCACTCAGCCATCGATATGTAGAGTAGTTGGCTGTAAATTACCAATAAAATTTTTAACAGTAAGTAAAACAGTGTATTGTTTTTAGACAGAATAAATAAATTGCGAAAATTTCCAAGAATTTGTGTATGTCAATGTAGCTATTTACTCTCTATTACTAAGGGTGTGTGTATAGGAAAAAAAAAATTTCCTCTGATCTAAAAATTTTTATCTCTTTTGAAATATTAATATTTCATACAATTATCAACTATTTATTAAGGTTGTAACTCAGTTAAAAAATAAAAGGATTTATTTTAAAAATAACATTCAAATTGATTTTCACCGTTTCATTAATACGCATACTGAATTAGTAGATTATGTAAAAAAGTAAAACATTCTCTAAATCTTACATGCTTGTTTGATGTTGTTTATACTATTCAACATACATACATACATATGTAATTATAATATTAATTTTTAGCTCACATACATAAATAACACATGCATAAATACACGCATAGATAATTATGATTTAAGAATTTCGTATACTATAATTTTAATTACATGCGTATTTACATACATAGTAATAAGCGTTGGCCAATGTATTCCTATTATTTTGATAAATAAAACTAAAATTTAAATCGCTTTAAAATAAAGAAAATTTAATATTTGAAAAACAAAGATAAAATGTTTCTTAAAATATTTCATGTTAGTTGGTGAAACCCAAGTGAATTAAAAAATAAAAAATAAGCAAAGAATTGAAGTCTCGTGCATTTTGCTAAGTGTTTGGGACCTACAGTTTTGCACCACCTCCGAAGGACAGGTAGTTTTTTATGGGAACCTTTATGTGACTAGAAAAACGCTCGGAGCTTTGGATTGGCGACCGCTATTATAAAAGGCCTGTTGGAAGTTGATCGAACCTAAATCCTTTCGTATGGTACTACGCCCCTCTAACCACTCCTCTTAAAGCTCAGTTAGTCTATACTTAATTTACATAACCTAATATTTTGACCAACTTGTTATATGAGAAACTGGTTAGTCAAAACTTAACTAATCGTTGAAAACTGAGTAATCGTTCAAAATGTTTTACGTTAAATTAAGTTAACGGTATGACGAGACGATCTCCTTTTCGTATATTATGTTAAAAATCACTAGTCTCAACTTTCGGTAACACTCACTAGAAATATGCCAATAGCTTGAAAGTATTGAACTGCAAAGTTTCCATTTCTTTTGGATTTAGAAGAATCAGCTATAACTTCTGAAATAACTGTAAGCAGGTAGGTAGGAGTGGCACATTTTGCATAGATAGAAGGCCTATTGTGTTGTCACAGTCTGTTCAGCCGTTCAGTTACGCGGCTGAAAAACAATAGCCTGCCAGCTGAGCTGTTCAAGTACGGTGGCGAGGTGCTGATACGGTGCATGCATAATGTGACCAACCGTACTTCTTTCGGAAGTACAGTACTTCTTTTTTCGCTCTTGTACTTCGTACTCTTCGCTCTTGTAAATTCGTTCAAACCATTAAAGTCGACGAGGACCGATGGCCTCATACCTGCGCAGATGCAAAGGGCTCTGAAGGTGTCGTGCAATTGGTTGCATCCTACTTATGCGAATTGCGTGAATTGCTTTGAAGGTAGTCAGTGTTGCGTTCATCCCGAAGGCCGGAAAAGGCTCTCATGTTTCCCCTAGGGATTTTAGGCCTATCAGTCTCTTCGTTTTTGTTAAAAGCGCTTTTGCTAAAAACGCTAGAGAGACTGATAGACCTGTACATTACAAACACGACTCTTCGTGACTGTCATTCAAGAGCTCAAAAAGCTTATTGCAAGAAAAGTTCGGTGAATACCGCCCTGCACACATTGGTCAGGTGGTCAGAGGAAGCCTTCACGCATAAAGATTATGCAGTAGTTCCTTATTCGATATCGCGGGGGCCTGCAAAAATGTCACTCCAGACACAATAGTCAAGTATATTCATAATCTGGGGATTGAAACCAACCTAATAAGGCTTATCTACAGCTGACTTCGTGACAGAACTGTCGTGGCGGAGTGGGGTAGCGTTTGCACTCAGTCCAGAGTCAATAGGAGCACTCCACAAGGTGGTGTTCTCTCTCCCCTGCTCTGGTGGGCTGCCGGGTGATCGCCTATGTAGATGATGTGGAACTTTTAGTTAAGGGGCGATTTCTGTACACCATTTTTGATCTGGCCCAAGGTTACCTGAAACAGGTAACTAGGTGGGCGATCAACGGCGGCTGTCGTGGAGGCCTAACATTGAGGAAAGGGTAGAAAAGGTGTCGGTGCTGCTGTAGGGGAGTTGTCAGTAAAAGGCGGGGTCTCTCGCCCAAATTAATTCATTAGCTCTAGGAAACCAGATGTTTCAAGGAGCCCTTGTCTGGTGGAACTCACTAGAGAAGGCTACACTTGTAAAACAATATATATATCCGTTGGATTTTGCAGGTTTTTTTTCGAAGAACACTATTTTTGCCCAATTTTTGTAAGGTCAAGGAGTGATTGTGGCTCAATATCAATATTTTTGCTTGAAAAGCAATTACATTAGCTTTCAATGCCAATATTGCCTCTGTCGATAGTGCTACGATTAATTGGCATGGAGTGTTAAAAAAGCACACTGTGTGTCGTCGAGTTAGCTCGAATATCTTATTTTCAGTCGAGAAATGTAATTTTGAAATTTCAAAATTACTACGGTGTATTTTTCTCGAAAACATATGACTCAAAACATAGGATTTGTAAAAATATATCTTATATATTATTTCTCTAAGGTGTTTTTTTGTTAGTTTCCCTTTTTATACTTTTCTATGAAAGCAATTCCACTAATGAGGTGTCATTTGAAAAGTCAGAGGTCCCCTGAGTGGTTATTAGGTAATATCAATGGTCATAACACCTCTGAAGTCAATAAATTTGTAATTTTATTTTTGTTTTTAATTTACCATTGTTAAGCCACACTAAAGGTATTTTGTACTGAAGCACTATTGTGACTGCAGTATCGCATACACCGTATACGACAGTGGTGAGCGCACACATAATTCAATAATAGTTGCGATCAGTCAGATTTTACTGGAAATCGATCCCGTACTCGGTTCTCTGACTATTGCGAGGACAAAAAAGAGAGTAAATACGGTTCTCTCTCTTTCAAAAGTTACCAGTTTTAGTCCGAGAATTTTTTGCTGGTAAATTCTGGTAAATGTGTCAAACGATCAGCTGTAGTGTGTTTGGCAACCAAATTGTGAACAAAAGAAAAGTGCACTCTGCTAATTCATGTTGCAAAGTATTTAATTACTTGCTTAGGTGGATTCTAATGAATTTGAAAGTATTTTTGGTTATTTACAATGTGTGAGCTGAGTGTGTTTACATACAAAATAAGCAAAAATTTGCAACCAAAATTTGGAGGTTATGTTGAAGTTGACAGAAGTTACCATTTTTTACTAGAAAGCGATACCGTACTTTTCAATGTTACTTTCTCGCTCTGAGCGAATTTTTATTTTTTGACAGTTTTACTATTCCGAGTCCGAGGAATACGGGATGCACCTAATTAAAGGTTCGATAAACTGACACTTGTCTCTCTCGCACCGCTCCCTTAGCTCAGATATTATTGTTTCTGTTAAAAAAATATTTAGTCAAAAAGTTATTTCTGAATATTTTTTTCACCTCAAATATTGTATACAAAGATATATTGTAAGTAACACCATGTTTCCCTCAACTCATGACATTCATATATCAGTCAGTTTGTAATATGTTTTTATGTACCTAATGAGTATAAGTTCTGATGTACTATAAATCTCATTCATGCTATGTAATATATGTATAATAAAAATAAGGGGTTTATAAGAATAATTCTGTTTACTATTTCCGCGAACTATTAGAACAGTCTGCTTTTATCTGTGGCTACAAAGAGGGATGAGTTTACTGTGTATTTCTGTCTGCGCAGTCTGCGCATGGGCCCGCTTGTAATATAATAAAATAAAATGTCTACCATACTTGGACGTACAATATTTTTGATTCTTATCCAAGTTGGATGAGAAAGCAAAGCGAATGGATCTCTGGTCGTCAACGAGGACCAGACGAAGTATGTCCTGTCATCAAACATACAGTCAGCGCATTCACGCCCTG